AAATACTGCAGGTACCCAGTCACAATTTTTATATTCTGTAAGAGTGTGAACAAAGCACAAATAAATCACCATGTCAGGGATTTCTGCTTGCTTGTCCTACTTTTCCAGCAGAGACTTGCACATAATCTACATTTGAGCAGTTTCAAAGTTGAACTAAAGTTTTATTTTAGTTTAATATAGGATACATTACAGGATTAATTCAAACGCTGGAGCAGTACAATCATTTAATTAGTGCAGGACTGTTGTCATTTACTTTTACAAGCTGCATATTTTAAATTTACACAGTAATTAGATTATCAAAAACATTCTCACTCACAGTGCATCATATACTGAAGCTTCTCCACCAAAAACCTCTATGAAACAGCTACAACCTTCAGCATCCGTTTTCAAAGTTTTTGCAGGGATGAGAATTCTTATTCTTATTAGTGCTGACACAGGAAGCTGTAACCATTTCCACCTCTGCAAGTTTGAGTCACTGAACTGGACCTCTTAACTGTGACTGTGGTGTTGGAGATCATTTTATTGGAATTAGCCAATTAACCAAAATTAACCAAAGAGCGTTAATTTTACTTCCAGCTTCAGTGAGTGGAATTCTAGCATTTCATGCCAAGTCTGTTGTGCAGAATGCTGCACCCATGAAACCTTAGTAACTGAGGTTGCTAACATTAGGTTATAACCTATCACTCCACCAGCCAGCCTCGCTGACTCATATGAGATATTAGAAAATAAAACGACATTTCTTTTGTTAGAGACCACCTTCAACATTTGTGTCACATGATTTAACAATAAAACTTTAAACTGGATATAAACGAGATAACAGGATGAATAGCTAGACCTATTCTCTGCACAAACGGGAAACATTTTGAACATGTTACCTGGTCCAGCAGAGTTTTTCAAAGAGTTCCTGCATGGTCATCTTGTCCCACTCCTCAGCATGGGGAGCTCTCCAGGGAGCGTCTCTGGGAATCTGAAATGCAGGAGGGTGTTCAGCATGAGTCAGGCATGTAGCAGGTGTGCAACCTGTCCAGTAAACCAATCTAGAATGCTTATTAATAAGAATACTCATTAATAGTGAGAACTGCTTTACCTCCTCGCCCATCTTATCCATTGTTCTAAAGAGGTTGTTGAAGTCCATCAAAGCGATGGGGTTCCACATGGGAGGCAAGGAGCCTTTGAACGGGTAAGACTTTCCCTGTTGGACACATGATTGCGGCCATCATCACCAAAACAATATTCTTCAATCATCAAATAACCATTGCTTATAAAAGCTGTGCTTAATGATGGCAGCATTCAAAGAACAACATTTCAGCATTTGCCATTAAAGATTTGTTTCAGTTGACCTCTAACTGACCGTGAAAGCAGTTTGAAGAGTGGTGGAGAAAGTGGAGTAATAGCTTGTGCAATGTTTACAACTGAATCAGAGATACTGAATCATTAAATGTGATAAGAGTAGCCATAATCTAAAGCCATAATTTTTATGCCTGGTCTAGTTTATTTCTGCATTTCTCAATCACACACAAAGACATACAAACACAGAGGTGACAGTCAGGGGTAGATGCAGTGGGTTTAAAACCACTAAAGTGTTGCCACACCACAATTGTAACTAGAGATTCATTTTTGTTGCTTTCTAGCAAAGTTCCCTTTGCTATGTGGAGGATAACAATGGTTTGAGTACATTCATTTATGTGTGTTGATGGAATCTCAAATAATCTCTCTAGCGTCATACGCTAGAGAGATTATTTGAGAGCTTGAGTATTGAGAGCTTTGCTTGACAGGAACATTTATTTCAAACCTTATTAAACACAAACTTCTTTGAAAGAGAAAAAAACTGTCTATACATCTTTGTGGAAATGCCCAAGCCTCACAGAGCTGTCAGCTCAGAGACAATTCTGGAATAACACTTACACTGTACTGTCTTGGTCTGCAGCTGCAGCTTAAACTAATAATGTCTCCTATTATTTACAGTCTCCTAACTTATTGTGTTGTGTAATGTAATACCACTGTAATAGAGCCAAAGGAAAAAACAAAACAAAAAGAATATCAAAATTGTTTAGTTCTTCATTTCATTGTAAAACAATGCAGCTGTAACTGCATTATTACTGCATTAAAGGAGACTGGAGGCATCAAGGTGGCACGGAGGGAGGTTAGCCAACTATCGGAGATGCAGAAAGGTGCGACAAAGAAGGTGCCTAAGAAGTACAGCAAGTTGTCCAATACCTGAGGCCTTGGAAACTGCCAAGCAAAGACTCACAGCCTTAGCCAGCTGCTTAAAGAGGTACACCAGAGACATAGAAAAACACCAGCTACTGGTAGACCGAGCAGTCAGCCGAGACTGCAAGACTAGGCTGACAAACCTGTGCACTCCCTGGATTGATTACAAGAAGGCCTACAACTTGATGCCCCACAACTGGATGCTGGAATGCCTAGACCTGTACAAGATCAACAGGACCCTAAGAAGAAACTAAATGTAAATTTATCAGGAACTATCAGGAACTCAATGGGGATGTGGTGGACAACACTAGAGGCCAACTTTAAGCCCTAAGGTTGTATGCTAAGCTTAAGGAAGGAGGTCAGAGGCTAGTTAGTGTCAGTACCACAGTGGCTGGACAAAGCTGGACTGAAAGACAGCACAGAGGCGCTAATCATGGCAGCACCGGAACAAGCATAGAGGCTGGGCTCTATCACCCCAGGCAAGACCCCAGGTGCAGGCTGTGTAAAGATGCCCCTGAGACAATCCAGCACATAACAGCAGGGTGCAAGATGCTAGCAGGCAGGGCATACATGGAATGCCATAACCAAGTGGCCGGCATAGTGTACAGAAACATCTGTGCCGAATATGGCCTGGAAGTCTCGAGATTAAGATCCTGTCCTCAATGAGAGGACCAAAGAACGCTACTTGAAGACAAAGGTGACTGTACTGCAGAGGAGGACTTTATGACAACCATCTAAAGATAAAGATTTCACAGAACCACAGAAAATGCTAATCACTGCCCTTAGCCTTTTACCCAAATTATATTGTACGCTCTTATCTGACTTTGAAACAAACATCTATTATCAATAGTTATTTTACTGCCTATTGTAATATACAGTACTGGGAAAATGTTTGCTCTTCTTAATTTCTCATTTCTTAAACTACATTTAGTTTTAAAATTTAGTAAATTATTATTAGATTCGATTAATTAATACATTAATTTAGTAAGGAAAAGGCTAAACAAACCTACCATGTCCTAAATCGTGAATTTACTGTGATCAACCACATTTTTTGGAAAGTTGAACTTTGGAAAGTTCAGTTTCAACTAGCCACACTCAGGTCTGATAACTGCTGAATCCAGAAATCACTCAAGTAGAACCCGTCTGACAAAGTAAAGTAGGCTAAGCGACACGTCATGCCATGATCTGAAGAAACTCAAAAACAGCTGAAAGACTAAGCTGCTGACAACTATCGGTCTGGAAAACCATTTCTAAGACTGAGCCAAGTGGAGAGCTGTTATTCACAAATGGGCTACTAAAATTACTCCAAGAGTGCATCAATGATTCATCCAGGAGGTCACAAAAGAATCCAGAACAACATCTCAAGAACTGCAGGCCTCACCTGCCTCAGTCAAGGTGTTTGTGATTTACCAACAACAATTTTAAAATTTTACTAATGTAGTAAAACACTAACACACACACACACGGTATAAAATATAGGTAATAAAGACTGATTGCTGTGAACTGCCGATGCAGGGATTGGTTCCCAGGTGTAAGATAATAAATCATATCTAAACACCACCTCTGAAGTCAGTCTAAAGATTTCTTGGATTTCTATCTTGCAGAGCATTCATTATGTGAGAGACCAACATACAATGCAAACAGTTTTACATTATCTGATAGTTTCACTGTGATTATTATAGCATTCTAAGATCTGTTCAAGATCTGTTTTGTGTATATATTGTCATAGTGTTTTCTTTGTCCTTTGTCAGACTGTCTGTGTCTCATGTCTCTGTTCCTGTTTGCTATCCTCCAGTGTTTGATGCGTCAAGTGTTTTGTGAAATTTTCAGATTCTGATTATTCTCTTGTTGTTGTTTTTCCTGTTTAATAAGTTCTGGTTCTAGTCCAGGTTTTTCTTCCTTGGGACAAGGAGGAAGTGCAGACACTGTTGGGGGTTCTTTACCAGGGTGTTTACCGAGCTTGAACCTAGGAACAGGTGGCAGGGGGATCTGAAGGGGTGGCAGAGGACAGCCAATTTTTTTTGGCAGTATTAATTACCCTCTGCGCAGCCTTTTTATTCTCAGTTGGGTGATAAGGATGTCTGGGATTATAGAGTTGAATGTTGAGCTGTAGTCCACGAAGGGCATCCTCACATAGCTCTTCCTGTTAGCCAGATGGCTCAGCGCTCTGTGAAGGGTGACAGTGATGGCATTTCCAGTATTTCCAGATATTTCATTTTTCATTTTTCCCCCAAACCACTGTCCAAAAAAAAAATCAAATCAAATCAAATAAAACCCTGAGCTCAGTGTGAGCTTTGGTAAGATATTTCTTGTAGTTGGTCATTAGGTTTGCACACATTTCAGGAGTGATTTTGGCCCACTCCTCTTTACAAAAATCTCTAAATGCTTTAGGTTTTAAAGACCCCCACAGCACATTTTCTACAGGACTGGTAGAAAGGTCTGGTCTGGAGAATGGTTAAGCTGCAAAATGAACTTAACATTCTTCTTCGTTGGCCACTCCTATGTTTCTTTGGTGGTATATTTTGGGTCATTGTCATGCTGGAAGACTCATTCATATCTTCAGTTTTTTGGCCGATGGAAGAAGACTCTTGTCCAAGATTTTACGGCACATAGTCCAATTCATTGGCCCCTCTATACGGTGAAGTCATCCTGTACCCACAGCAGAAAAACAGCCCAAAACACAATATTTCCACCTCTGACTGTGGAGATTGTGTTCTTTAGGTCATACTCATCACTTCTCCTCCTCCAAACACTGTGGGTTAAGTTGTTGTCAAAGAGCTCGATTTTGTTTTCATCTGATTACATTACTTTCTTCCAAGGCTTCTCTAAATTTTTTGGGTGTTCACTGGCAAACTTAAGAGGGGTTTGTAAATGTGCCTTCTTGAGCAGGGGGAACCTTGTGAGCGCTGCAAGATTCGGTATATGGTAAATGGAGTGGTTCTTATACAGCACATTACTATTCTACTTGAACGCTCAAAGCACTTTAGCATGTATAATGTACCCGTACCTTTTGATTAATAGATGACCTGCTCTACCTCCTGAGCCACATTATTCTCTAATTTTAGACCATTACAACCAGTGTGTAACCATTGGTGTTTTTGGTGACTGTTCCTAGTCTTGAGATCATTAACAAGCTCCTCCACTGAGTATATATGTTCTGTACGACCGTGTGTGGGGGGAGTGGCTAATTTAGCAGATTACCGTATTTACCGCACTATAAGGCTCACCAGATTATAAGGCGCACTGTTGAAGACTGGCTCTGTTTTCATACATAAGGCGCATCATATTATAAGGCGCATTAAGACAAACAAAAAATACTCGACCTTTATTAAGCTCATTCACAGTAACTCTTAACACTGTTAAGCTGTAACACGTTAAATATTGAAAAATATACTTTTTCCAGTACGGTACATTCAACTTCCACAATTCCCTCAAACTCTTCACCTTCCGTGTCTGAGTTACGGTAAACAGCTGGGCAATTTCGGCATCAAGCATGCCCGGATCCCTCTCACACCGGATTAAAAGGCGTTTAAAGTGCACTCAGCAGAATAAAACAATCGGATGAGTTAAAATTTAACCAACTCATTCACAGTAACTATTAACATTGTTAAGCTGTTAAACATCAAATATTGAACAATACACTTACATTTCCAGTTCATTCAACTTCCACAAATCCATCAAACTCTTCACCTTCAGTGTCTGAGTTAAACAGCTGGGCAATTTCGGCATCAAGCATGCCCGGATCCCTCTCATCATTATCTGAATCAGTCTCGTTGCTGTTACTTAGCTGTTCAGTGATTATTCCAGCCTTCGTGAAAGCTCGGACGACACTTGAGACTGATACCTTAGCCCAAGCAGCCACGATCCATTGGCAGATAGTGGCGTAACTCGCTCGGCGTTGCCTCCCTGTCTTGGTGAATGTGTGTTCGCCTTCTGTCATCCAATGCTCCCACGCAGCTCGTAATTTAACTTTAAACGACCTGTTGATACCAATATCTAGTGGTTGGAGTTCTTTGGTTAATCCACCCGCAATGACGGCAAGCTCCAAATTAGTTTGCTTCACTTGGGTTTTGACAGCCTCGGTGAGATGGGCGCGCATGGAGTCATAGATCAAAAGAGACGGAGATTTGTGGAAAAAGCCATCCGGTCTCTTGACATAAACTTCCCTCAGCCACTGCTCATTTTCTCTTCATCCATCCAGCCCTTTGAGTTAGCTTTGACGATGACGCCGGCCGGAAACTTTTCTTTTGGCAAAGTCTTCCTCTTGAAAATGACCATGGGTGGTAGTTTCTGGCCATTAGCTTGGCAGCCCAGAACTACAGTGAAGGATGACTTCTCGTTCCCTGCGGTGCGTATAGATACCGTACTGGTCCCTGTTTTCTCGACAGTACGGTTCACGGGGATGTCAAAGGTGAAGGGGACCTCGTCCATGTTAGTGATGTGTTCTGGCCGGATCTTCTTTTCAGTGATCTTATTCTGGCAGTACGTGCGGAAAATGGCCAACTTTTCTTTGTAATCGTTTGGCAGTTGCTGTGAGACAGTAGTTCTTGTGCGGATTGAGAGATTATGCCTTTTCATAAAACGGAAGCACCAAGAAGGTCCCCTCGAAAGTCTTGATCTGCATGTCACGTGCTACCGCTGTTGCCTTGAGTCGAATAGAGACTGTAGAGACACTTCTACCTGCTGTTCTCTGTTCAATAACCCACTGTTCAATTTAAGATAAGATAAGATAAGATAACCTTTATTAGTCCCACACGTGGGAAATTTGTTTTGTCACAGCAGGAAGTGGACAGTGCAAAAGTTATGAGGCAAAAATTAGAATACAATAAGAATAAATACAGTACACAACTGTACAGAATATAATAAAATAAAATACTATATACAGTAGAATAAAATAAAATAAATATACAATAAGATAAAAATAGAATACAAATACAAATACTATATACAACTGAGTAAAAATACAACGATGACAGAAAGGATTATTGCACTTAGTATTATTGCATATGTATGGATGTGTGTGCTTGATCAGTTAAAGTCTTTATTATGGAGTCTGACAGCAGTGGGGAGGAAAGATGATGATAATTGATAATTTTGTCCTCTAACTGCGGCCATCGCGCCTTGTTCCCTCGGAAACTCCTTTTGGTCTTCTTTACTTGTTTTAGGTCATCTTTTTGCTTCCTCCACTTGCGCACCATGGACTCATTAATGCCAAATTGTCTCGCAGCTGCTCTATTTCCATTCTCTTCTGCATAACTAATTGCTCAAAGTTTAAAATCAGCTTCGTAAGCGTGTCTCTTCACGGGTGCCATTTTGGAGTCGTTATACACACACACACACACACAACACGGTAATGTTGTGTTGAAGCACAGTACGTATTACTCCGCGAGGCTCCTGGCAACGGTAACCGTAATGCTCCAAAAAGTGGCACTAAAAATCTTTTTTTGACAGATTTTTGAGCATAGTGTGCCACATAAAACCGGTTCGAGGTCAGTAAGCACAAACCAAAATTCATACATAAGGCGCACCAGATTATAAGGCGCACTGTCGATTTTTGTGAAGATTTAAGGATTTTACGTGCGCCTTATAGTGCGGTAAATACGGTACAGTCAAGTGAACTAAAGTTAACAATGATGATAACAATGTTTTACTTTGTGTGCAAAGTAAAAAATTTGTTTTTAGTGCAAACAAAAAGATTCCCCAAAAATGCTTCAAACTCTACTGCTGATGGCAAAGAGGCTAGCTCTGTTAGCTCATGCAAAAGTCAAGCTGACAGGAAAAGTGCCAGCGGCAGAAAGTGGCAATTGAAAAATGTTGATAAAGATCCTTGTTGCCATGCCTACTGCGTGATGCCAGAAAAGTAGCAGAGACTTGGATTTCCTTTTTATTGGATAATGGGTCAGACTCAGGATATGGTGCATCATCTTCTGAACTGTCATCATTTACTCCATCACTTAAAGTGAAGAATACATCTGGAACATGTCATGATCTGTCACAGACTACACAGACATAACATAAACCAAGAGAGCTTGGAATAGAAAATTATCTGCAATAAAAAAAAGACACTCACATTAACATAATGCACCAAGTTCTCCTGCTCGTTGACTTTGTAGGTCTTTATGCCATACTCTTTGGCCAGACGGAGGATGCGGTTCTGTGTCGGTCCAATGTAGGCACCGCCTAGATCAACCCACTTTGCCTCCTTATTCTAAAAGACACATACTCACAATTAGATCATGACAAAAAAGAAAGAAATGTCACAGATATTTCTGAAAAGGCTAACTGATCTATGCTTGCACTTCTACGCTCATAAATGACTTGAATATAAATGTCATTTTTTTTCTGTATGCCCATTAAAAGAAATAGATACACTATCTTGGTTGTAAAATTAAAAAGGCTGGAAAGCATTTATATTACTGTTACTGATTGTCTCTTTTATGAGCCGCTCCTACAGTAGTATTGACACTCTTTGCCTTACCTGCACAGTGAAGGTACGACCACCAACCCGGTCTCTGGCTTCCAACACTACAGGATCGAGCCCACTGGCTTTCAACAGCTTTGCAGCACTCAAACCTGCAGAAGGACAGAGACACCAACAGGACTTAAACATAAGGATTCAAGCAATATATGTGCTTTCTGTACTTGTAAAAAAAGCAATAGCAAAAGGCACACAGGGATTTTAAAGGTCTTTTAAAATAAATGACAAAAAAGGCTTCCAAAAATCCCCTTCTCAAAGAAAAACATTGTTTTTGCGCTCTATTAGATCACTCAAAACCAGATCAAGAGGATCGTTTGGAAAATCTGATAAGAAAGACAAAGATTTGAACTTCTTTGTTTATTTTTAAAGTAAATCTGGTTTCTCTTATGCTAGTTAGGACACTGTTATACCATCAACAGGTATTCCCACTTTAATTGTTTTCCGTTGTGCATTTACACTGATTAGCTTTTAGGTAGGCATGCAACTCTTAAATAAAATTACATAACATTTGCTTTTCAAATGAACTGAGAGAGCTCTGGGGAAAAAAATAGAGGGGGGCAGGGGGGATTGAGGTTCTCAACAAATCACAAACCAGCCAACCAGCTGATCATGTGGGGAGGAAGAGCTAACAAGTAAAGCACTGAGCACTGGCTCACCAACCACAGAGTATACAGTAGATAAACAGCTTGTCATACACTGACCTCTGGATATGGAGTATGGGTATGTCACAGGTTTTGCTGTGAGACTGGGCGGGGCAGACATCTCCGAAATCATCGGAGCACTTTTGCAAATAGGCTCGATCTTGACAAACCGACCAGATATCTGAAGATTAAACCTCTACATTCTCGGCTAAAAAAAATATTTAAACTGTATTCGGTGACATACAAACAGGGTATTTAAAGGCAAGTTCAGTTAGTTAGAGAAATGTCCAATAAAAAGACTGGCCACCAGGCCAAAGCAATGGTTTTTACTCGAACACCATTAACCCCACCCCTGAGTTTGATGGGTGAGGTTGGCAGATAAAAGTAATTCATGAAGAGAGCCGCAGGGTCAGGACTGTCAAAATGAATTAAATAAATACATCATTAAATAATTGATTAAATGTGTTGATAATTAAATACAATTTGAAATAAATAAACACATAATTTATTCAATGTTTTAAATGAAATTAATGGGCATTTAATTAATTATTTAAACATTTATTTAATTAATTAATTTAAATTTTAATTAATTAATGACAAATTTAATTATTTATTTAATAACGTATTTCATTCATTTATTTCCTCACTCCTGGCCCTCCATACAGCTCACGTCCTCTTATGTAACACAAAGTATGCGCTGGTTGATTAGCTGTTGCTCAACTTGCTCTGCTGTTGCTGCGGTGATACAGAGGTGAAAGAGCTGGAGAGAGGAGGAGAGGGAGGTAGCCTCACGGAAGAAGAAGAAAAACACTACGAATAATGAAAAACTCTCCGTCACTCTGCACGCACGCACGCACAGCTTCTTCCACTGTGGAAGCTCTGTTCGAAGCTTTGGCTTAAATCAGTTTATTTGCTCAGCTCGTCCGCAGCACTGCACACCAAACTAAAGTTTTCTAACGTGCAGCTACCTGATATGCCCGCGCCGACCACTATAACGTCGTAGGTGTTGCTGGGTGCAGTCATGTTGCTGGGTGGTGTGTCTTCTTTCCCCTCTTGGCCGTGTCAGCTCCGGATCCAGATACGCACCCTACCGAACGTAGGGTGCGTATCTGGATTAAAAAGCGCCGGGCAAGCCCACTCCCTGCAGAGACCGCCCACCCATAGTAAAGCCCTACCCTGTGGGCATGGAGGGCCATTAGGAAAAAACATTTTATGGACTACTACTACTACTACTACTACTAATAATAATAATACCTGGGGTTTTTTCATCACCCGACGACAGCTCTTCTCCAGTACTCTGCTACGGATCTTTTGCGGCTCCGTTTTTGCCTGGCTGTCTCTCCACCTGTGGCTCTATACTTCTACCCGGTGTTCCAGATCTACTGGCGTTTAGATCAACTGGCGTTAGTCGAACAGATGTGTGGCAGACTTGCATTTCAGGAGCTGCTACCGACAAACCAGGAAAAAAACGCCAAATGTGTCATCTGTGACACTTGTGAGTATCTCAATACACTCCGTCAGTCTTGATGCTGTTGAACAACAAAATGTTTAAAAATATCGCGAGTTTACCTGGTGATATTCTCATGCGCGACGCGAAAAACAAACAATTAACACCACGCCGATGTTGTCCACAGGACAGCAAGAGTAAAACGATCGGGGGAATCTTGTCGTCGTTATCGTCCCCTCGCACGTGTTATTACTCCGATTTCAGCGATTTTGCTTCACAACTAAAGCGAGCAGTTTACTTTGTGCGCACTTACATGACTCGAATCTACCAGCGCACCTCTGGCCAAGTACACAGCCTACAGCCAGATCAACTTGTGACACACATCTGCAGCACGTTTGAATTCGTTTCATGCACGATACATTTGTACCTTTCAACTGTGTCTGTTTGTGCGTCATGCAAATAAACCTTTGAACTGAATGAAATGATATCATGTACTTATTTTGGCCTACATCAGTAAGAAATGCCAAATTATATACACAAAATCATAGAAATCACCACTCCAATTGGTCATTCATGATTTTAATATTTCTTTTTCCATAACAGTGAAATACGCCTTGGACAACTATGACACATCAATATTTCATTAGTGTTGCACATCACATCCTGTAAGCATCGTCTGCCTGTGTCTTTTCCTGGAAATGAATATTTCAGCCAATATAGGCAATCCATCAACAGACTGGAGAGTTAACTCTCCACACTTGTACAGACTGTATATAACACCAATTGGTAGTTATATACAGTCTGTAACAGTGTGGTTAATGCAATAACATTTGTAAGGAGGTGGCAGTTACTGTGAATTTACAGCGTTACACATGATCAGTAATAAACAGAGCCAGTGAGAGTGAGTGGATATAACAGAGTCAGTAACTCAGGTGTGTCGATTGGTTTGTCATCTGTTTTTGGGGAGGAGACGTAGAAATCATTTGTCTTAAATCTAAGTTAGGAAGATTCATGTTTTAAAACAAGCACTTTTTGTCAGAAATGCAAGAAGTACATCTACAGAAAGCACAGTTACATTCTGTCCATCATGTGGACAAAATTGAAAATGTTGAACATTGAAAAACTGAGAACATCAGGCAAGTTCAAAAGAAATGTGTTTGTAAGAACGAAACCTCGACTAAATTGTTCCTACAAATAGTTATGGAAAGTCAAACTGTGTTGTATGTCTAAATGTTTATCTAATGGAAAGTAAAGTTGCTTTTGTTTTATTGCAGTTTTTTTTGTTTTTTTTTGCCTGTCCCGTTTGGCTCTTTTGCCATCAGAATTGTTGTCTAAAGGCAAAGAAAGATGCCCAACGGATTTACTTTACCAAATTGACCATCCCAGCCTTGCCGTAATGGTCCATTTGATTCACCTTTTATTGTTTATTTTATTTTCACTTACTGAATACGGGACAGACTTGACTGGGGAAAGAAGGGGAGAAAGAAAGAGGGAAAGAGAAACAGCTGAGAAGAGGGACGGGGAGAAGGGCAAAAAACATAAACCAACAGAATGAGCAGAGAAAAAAAAATGCATATATCGATCACCTGGGTCACCTGCTGAGAAAGAAAAAAGAAAACAAGCAGAACAGAACAAGAGTAATAGAATAAACAACATCACAATGATATATGGGAATATGACAGTAAATACTAAATATTAAACATTATTGTGCAGCACATAAGATCAACAGAACACAGTGTGCTTTGAGGTAGGAGCCAAAAAGGGTGTAGTTTGTGGGTGTGATCACCCGTGTGTACACCTGTGAGCATGGACGCGCTTGTTTTTAAAAAAAAAAGGTTCCTTCATGTTATGATCTGCTAGAGGGTGTGGGGGCCACAGCCCCGTCCTCCAGGGCATGAAGCAGGTATGGAGGAGATCAAAACTCCAGACATCCAGAGGCCCCCAGAACACAAGAGACCAAGGAAGACCAACAGAGGGGCAGCCGCGCCACTGTCCCAGAAAGAGCTGAGGAGAGTCTCAGATGAGGGCTCACTCAGCAGCCGCGGAGCAGAAGCCAGGGGGGAGTTGCAGTGACGCGCCCGTGAGCTCCGCCGGCAGCCAGCCGTGCCTGAGTGACCGAGACCAGGCCGAGAGGCGGGGACCCAACTCCGAAGTGGCCCGCGAGCCCAGGCTCCAGGCCCGATAGCGGCCGCTAAGGAGTGAGCCGGTGTGTACCTGGATGCCCATCCCGGACACAAAGAACCAACGCACCGACACCTGAGGGAGTCCGCCACTGGCAGGGGAAGTGGTGGTAGGGGGAGATAGGCCTCCAAACCTTGGAGGGCCTGAGATGTCCCCAGAGAGGTGGCGCCTGACACCCAACCTGACATATAGACACAGACCATACAGGCACACACATATACAAACATCCATTCCCACCCTCATGCTCTCATATGCAATTACTCCACACTCAACCAAAGTGGAGACAGACATAAAGAGACGCTGTACACACGATCACACTCCCCAAGCGTACTCTACGAACCGGGTCTAGGTACCCTTGCCCCTGGAGGGGGGAACTGCACCCAGACCCAGGTGGTGTTACCCTTTTCCCTGCGGTGGGGGGAGGCAGACCGCCCCGACTCCGCAGCAGCAGGGAGGCCCCACACTCCAGACCGCAGTCGGACGGCCAACTCCTCCTCCTAGCCCCCCCGCTCCAGCAGGCTGCAGAGAATGGGGGTTATTATTGCAGTTTTTTGACAACTCTGAGTGGATTTACACAGTACAGGTCAAAATGACCCGCAACAGAGCTGGCTCTATCACCACGTTTGAACTTGTTTAATGCACAATACATTTGTAACTGTCATTGTTTTCAGTTTTTTCTTAAAAAAACCGTTTAATTACATGAAATGCAATTTTGCTTATTTTGATCTTATCATACACTTGAAGATTCCGAAATCAGCACTCCTTTTGTTTAGATCATTTTCACAGCAAAGTTCACTGCGGATGTGCCACAATTTAAATCCCATTCTTCAAGTCTCTATCCTGTTTCTGCTGGTGTGCCCCAGGGTTCAGTATTAGGGCCCCTTTTATTCATTCTTTATATGCTTCCTCTTGGTCATATATTCTGAAAATATAATATAAATTTTCACTGTTATGCCGATGACACCCAGCTCTACATTTCTTCTAAACCCAATTCATCCCTCCCACCTCCCTCCCTCTCAGACTGTCTTATTGAGATTAGATCCTGGTTCTCCTCCAATTTCCTCAAACTTAACAGTAATAAAACTGAAGCTTTACTTGTTTGTACACCATCTATCTTAACCAAATCCCACAGTTTTTCCATTAACATTGAAAATTCTCCTACCCTTCCCTCCCTCAGGCTAAGAGTTTGGGTGTCATACTTGATAATACTCTTTCATTCCAGTCTCACATTAATTACATAACACGGTCTGCTTACTTCCACTTACGTAATATTAACAGACTCCGTCCCTTCCTTACTCCCCATGCTTGCCATCCTTGTCCATAGTCTTATTACGTCCTGTATTGATTACTGCAATTCCCTCCTATTTGGTCTCCCTAAAAGGTCCCTTCATAAACTCCAACTTCTTCATAATTCTGCAGCTTGGGTCATAACTCGTACTCTGTTAAGAGCTCATATTACCCCAGTTCTTCAGCAACTTCACTGGTTGCCCATAGAAGCCAGGATAAATTTTAAGATCTTACTTCTTACATACAAGTGTATCCATAAATCTGCTCCTTTATATTTGTGTGACCTGCTCCATATCACCACTGTTTCCCGCCCTCTCAGATCATCATCTGCTCTTCATCTTACTGTTCCGTCCTCACACCTTATTACTATGGGGAACAGAGCTTTCAGTCGCTCTGCTCCTCGGCTCTGGAACTCTCTTCCTCCAGCCATAAGAAATATTGACTCCCTCTCGTATTTAAGTCACAGCTCAAAACACATCTGTTTAAACTGGTTCATTCGCTTTAGTGCTGATTTTATCTGTTGTCAAGTTCTGCTTTGCAATTTTAACTTATTTTATGTATTTTATGACTATTGTTCCTTTTATTCATTTTGTTCTTTGTAAGGTGACCTTGGGTTTCTGAAAGGCGCCCTCAAATAAAATGCATTATTTAATAATAATAATTATTTAATAATATTAATAAATACAATATATTTTTAACTTACTATTGACTCAATTTTACTAGAAATGAAATACAAAAACACAATTCATCATCCAGTATAATAATATTCATTAATAATTCATTCATTGTCTTTTTCTCTTTGTACTTTGTTTTATCCATCATTTATTTTATTTTTGGCTCTGTGCAATTTTAGGAAGTCCATGGCCTGTAGGGAGTTTATCGTAACTTTTTTTTAATGATTTGCATTATTTCTAAAAGCATACATATATTTCTACATTACTACAGAGCTCTCCCCACTCCCTACTCCCTCGCTTCCCCCCCTTCTGACACCATGACACCCCCCTCCAATCCCTCTCAGCACAAGACATCTCCCCCCCTCCTCCCACACTCCCAGTGTCACAGTGGATCAGGTCAGGAGACAACTGAGGAAGCTTCGCCCCAGAAGGCAGCAGGCCAGACAAGGTGTGTCCTAGGATGCTAAAGGCATGGCTGCGAATTGGGAGCCGCTACAACGAGTCTTCAATTAGTCTGCGACTGGGAGTGCTCG